ATAGGAAACATTAATTTAAGATAGGAAGAATTATTATAGTTAATATAGAACGATGAAAGAATTTTTCTTTGTAAGAATTAAAATTTTATTTCTTCGATTAGAAAAATTTGTTCACTCTTTCTCTCTCTCTCTCTCTCTCACTCTCTCATTCTCTCTCTTTAATTTTTGATGGTTACTATCAGCAAGATATAAATATTAGTTGATAAAGAGTTAACCCATTATATCCAGCTTTAAGGAAAATAATTATCCTTAGGGAATTAAGGAGGTAATAACTAAAGATAGAAACTAAGAACTAAGGTTTAACAACTAACGATTCATCTTATCATTTCGAATTATTTCTTTGGGAAAATCTTATCGATTTCCAAGACAATGTAACTACCATACTCTCTCTCTCTTTCTCTCTCTTTCTCTCTCTACCTAATTTAAGAAAATAGATGAGAGAGGATAGTTTAATTTGTTTCAAAACTTACACGTTAAATCAGATTTTCTCAATATTTTACATGAAGACGTGAAACCTTTTGGAAGTTGAAAGTGTATGTATGTGTGTCTATATATATATATATGTATGTATGTATGTATGTATGTATGTATGTATGTATGTATGTATGTATGTATGTATGTATGTATGTATGTATGTATGTATGTATGTATGTATGTATGTATGTATGTATGTATGTATGTATGTATGTATGTATGTATGTATGTATGTATGTATGTATGTATGTATGTATATATAATGTAAGTATGAAATATAATAAAGTACTAATGGAATACTAGTTACGTACTTATGTAGTTTACTATATTCACTATACTTTGTATAGATAAATAAAGAGGATTAAGTGTTTTGCCTTATACTTATAGAAATTTGAATTGAAAAAATATAAATATATATATATATATATATATATATATATATATATATATATATATATATAGGAAAGGAGAAGGGGGTGGCGGCGATGGCGAGTGGGATAAAAAATATCATTGAGAGTATTTTCTTCCTTTTTCTTTTTTTTTTTTTGTATATTTTTTTTGGCTTTCTTTTTTCCTTTCTTAATTCCGTTCAAAGTGACGGCGTAATATCTAAAAAAAAACAAAAAAAAAAACAAACAAACTTTTTCAATCTCATTTTAACGCGGACATTAAAAATCCTTACATTGAATGATGAACGAATGCTATACGACGTTGATGCATCAAAATGTTAATGTACGAAGTCATTCGTGAAACAGTCCCCGTATTAAATGCATCATATAGTACGTACCGTACTTTCCATTACTATATTAACTTCAATTTAGGAAAGTTAATGATATAGGATAATTCAATATGTTTCGAAACTTATACACTAAATGATATAACACCAATGTTAATGTAATCGTGTCAATTTAATTCATTCATTACAAGATAAACCCCTTGTCTATTGAAAATTCAAACTAATTATCTTAACAATTTCAATTACGTTACTTTCCATTTGCGATATTTCGCAATGGATGGATTAAGTAGGTATATTATGTTATAATTAGGGAGAGAGAGAGAGAAAGAGAGAGAGAGAGAGAGAGAGAGAGAGAGAAAAATAAAATGAATTACAAAGTACATACATATGTACGTAAATATATACGTAAGAAGCAAAACAAGTGTTCTTCAAGCCAATGCCTCGTTAAATCGAATAATTTCTACTCGACGTTTCGTTAAAGTTTCAATTAATCCTACAAAGGGGTAGTTGGCTATGTGGACAAGTTTGATCGGTTTATTTCGGTAAACATACCACTCGAAGGATTGAATTTCTCGAGATACGACGATTTCTGTTTTACGTCACAAACGAACGCTTCTTAAAATATCCGCCACCTTTTCTCCATTTATTCGATATTAATGGTATTCGATATATTCTCCTCTTGGTGTTGTAAAAATAAAAAGTAGAAGAGGAGGAAGAAAAGGAATAGGATGAATCTTCCATCGATGAACAACAACGAGCTGTAGTTTTATTAATTTTTTTCGTGTTTTTTTTTTCTTCTTCTTTCTTGGTTTCTCACTTTTTTTTTTTTTTTTTTTTTTTTTTTTACAAACAATATTTATTCGTGAGAGACAAAAATACATGGTAAAAGAGATACATCCACTTCTGATAAGAAATTTGCCATTTGCTGGGAAAGCATTGGAAAAAATTTTTTTTGTTTTCACGAAGAGAAAGAAGAGAGAGGGAGAGAGTCAATGACAAATGTCTTTCATTTCTTTATCTCTCTTAACGTTATCGATCTTTTTCGTTTTATCGTTCTATCAATTGTGAAAACGAAACGTACATATTATTTTTAATATATGATATATAAATATGATCTTGTACAATTACAATTAGATATAATCGAAGAAAATCAAGTTCTAATGGCACAAACAAATTGTTTAAACCATCGTTGAACGTAAATTTGTCGATGATAAAAATCTAGATGGTATTTCAATGATGTCTCGCGCTGTCAGTAATCTGTAATTATCATTATGATCGGTCAAAATTCGTCGCGATTACAGATTTAAAATCAAAAAAATACATTGTTGTCAATGGCAACAGGTGTAAATCGTCAAATAATCTCTCCAATTTAGTAAGATTGAATTAGAGAGAAAAAAAAATTTATTTCTTTACGTTTAATTCGTAACCTTTACACCTTTCGACGTATTGAAAAAAGATAGAGAGAGAGAGAGAGAGAGAGAGAGAGAGAGAGAAAAAAAAAAGAAAAACATCGCGCGTTTGATTTAATGATGCTTAAATTTTATTCCATTTAACGTAAATGAATGTAATTGAAGAAAAATATATTATTTTTATCATCATAATATCTTTATTGTCGAAAATAAATTTTCAATTAAAATTTAATTTAACATTGGATATCGTTCTTTTTAATACAATATAATGACCATTTAACATTTTATAAAACGTTAAATTTTACGTTAAATAAAATGCAAACATAATTGTACTATCGACAGAACATATATTTACGTTCGTGATTTCTCACAATGAAACGACACCGACCAATTGTTCTCTTTTTTTTTCTTTTTTTTTTTTTTTCTTTTTCTTTTTTTTCATTCTTTTTTTCTTTTCTTCTTCTTCAGTTAAGCTTTCAAAAGAGATTCTTTTCGTCTGGCTTTATAAATCAACGATGTCGCTGCTCTTCGGTATTGTAGAAAACGTCTCGTTCGTGTAAGCCGTTATTTACGAAGGGTGATAGTCGGTCGATAGTAAACGAAGAAAGAATGGCTACGACTCGTTAATGAATCTCGATGTATGTATTTCGAAGGATGTTCGGAAAAATAGAAAATATTTTTTCTCTCTTGAAAGTCATCCATTTCCCTTTTACTCTCTTATAACTTGGATTTTCTCCAATCGTAAATAACATGTATTAATATAAAAATAGATAAATATATATATATATATCTGTTGAAAACAAAATTATGAAAAAAAAGAATACAAAAAAAAAAAAAAAAGAAAAGGAAAGAGAAAGAAAGATATCTTGTAATTCTCAATCCTTTGTAATCTTTATTTTCTTTTCATTTGTTCGCTAAAAATTCTCTTGTATTGTAGTGGTGTTTTACTATAAAATTAAAAAAAAAAAAATATATATATATATATGTAATTATTTAAAGTTATAATAATATATTTCCCTACATTTTCTCTCTCTCTCTCTCTCTCTCATTCATCCCTTTATTTTTCTGACGTACATATATAAATGTCTGAAAATACATATGATATATAAACTCAAATATAGCGAATATAAACAGATAAAGAGCTATAGCCGATTTAGTAAGCTCTATTGATTCATTCTCGGTTTGCGCTAGCTTTTCTCCAGATTACGTTCGTTCGTATTCCTTCGCGGCGCTCCTCGCGGTAGCAGCCCTACGCGCAACCGTTCGCGCCACCCCTCGAACGGCACCCCTACCACGACGACTTGCCCGGTTCTGTCCACCCCCATGGCAATCCCCGCTCAATAGATATATATCTCCTTCTCTTTCTCTCTTAGTCGCTTTATCCCCACCAAAAATTATCTACCCCGCCTATTTCATACTTTCCCTCCCTCTCTCCCTCTCTCACTCTCTCTCCCTCTCTCTCTCTCTCTGTCTCTCTCATTCTCTCCCTCTTTCTGTTTTATACATACAAGCAGACACGCATACAGAGATACACACGCATTCATATACTAATACCTCGATCTTTGAACTCCTATACACTCACGCCCTCTTCGAATATTTTCCAAAGATTCTCTCTCTCTTTCTTTCTCTTTTACTCTATCTCCGTCTTATTTTCTCTATCTTTCTTTCTCCTTCTGTATTTTACTGCCTTTCTTTTCCTTTTTATTATCCTTTTCTCTCTTTCTCTCTCTCTCTCTCTCTTTCTCTCTGTCTTTTTTCTCTCTCTTTTTCTCTCAGTGTCTGTCACATTTCCCATTTCTCCACTTTATGTTTTTCATCTCCCTTCCCCGTACTATCTCGTACATGTTACATACAAACGCACATATATTCTCCTTCCTCTGAACCGTAACTTTTCTCTTTCTCTCCCCCCTCCCTCCTTCTCTCTCTCTCTCTCTCTCTGTCTCCCTCTCGCTCACACACTTTCTCTCTCTCTCTCTCCCTCTCTCTCTCTCTCTCGCGCTTTGCTATTCCGTCGATTCACCCCACCACTGCACTTACCGAAGCTCCACGGTTTCGCTGTGCCGAGCTATCTCCGTTGCTCCCCATGGCAGTCGCTCGACAGCCACCCTCTCAACACGCTCTACTCTAGCCAGTCTTGATTAGGCTTACGGTAACGTGGCAACAACGAGAATCACTGGAAACCGATCATCTCGTTTTCGCGGATAATTTACTTCCGGTGTGTGCTTACTCTCTCTCTTTCTCTCTCTCTCTTACTCGCTCAATCTCCTTCTATCTCTCTCTCTCTCTCTCTCGCGTGCGCGCTTTTTCTCTCTCTCTCTTTCTCTCTCTCTATCATTTGTTTTCATTTTTTAGTTCAAAACTGTTCCTTTTTCTTTTCATTTTTATTCTCTCTCTCTCTCTCTCTCTCTCTCTCTCTCTCTCTCTCTCTTTCTCTGTCTCTTTTTTCTCGCCTTTTTTCTTTCTTCTTACTTGTCGGTGGTAAATTGGCATCGTCTAAAACGTGCCACGCACGGTGTCTCGACTCGTAATCCTACGGCGGACCAAAACAAGGTACGATCCATTTAAACGTTGTCTGATCAATCGTGGAATATATTCCTACTTACCAATGTCCGACCGAAATAATGGACTCCTACTACTGATATTACTTAATCGGTCAAACAAAGCCAATTGAAAATGAACTTTTCTCTCTGCAATAAAATCAATTATTCGTATTACATATTATAGTTCAGTCTTATTTTCATGCTGGATAATAAATGAAGAAACGGAAAAAGAAAGGGAAAAAGAAAAAAAAAAAGAAAAAACAAAAGGAAAAAAGAAATAAAGGAAAAGAAAAGAGAGAAAGAAAATGATAAAAATAAAAGGAAAGGGGGAAAAATGGAACAAAGAAAACAAAAGTGAAAATGATTCCTTCATAGAAATAAATTCTAAAATATTATTAAAGTGATCGATCACTTTCGAAACAATTTGGTTTCATTTTTCTCATCGTAATAAAACGAAAATAAATTCTGATCGATCGTTTCTCAAAACTAAGGATAAATATAATTTTAGACAAACGTTATTTATACATTATCTATCGTCGATCGTCATCGATTTTTAACCGTACTCTAATCACGTTTCCGACGAATTTCCTGCTGCATTTATCCACCACTGCCGGTCATGTCGATCCACGGATAAACCAACACAAACGCCTTGAGAAATGCTTCCTCTCTGGTTAATTCGTGTCTTCCTGAAACTAATCGAGCTCTCGAACAACGAACAACGCTTTTTCGTTATTCGTAAATCTATAAAATCCTCCGATGATACTTCTTTTTTCATTTTTCTTTTTTTTCTTTGCTCTTTTCTTTTTCCTTTTGCTTTCTTTTTCGAACAATTAGATCAAAATCGATTTTTCTTATATTAATTGTTTCCTCTTACTTTGTTTTCTCTCTCTCTCTCTCTTTCTCTCTCTATCTATTTCTTTCTGTCTTTCTCTCTCTCTCTCTCTCTCTCTCTCTCTCTCTCTCTCTCTCTCTCTCTGTCTGTCTGCCTGTCTCTGTCTTTGTTACGTTCCTGTCTTTCTATCTTGTTTCTCTGTCCACGTGGGTTGCATCTTTTGATAGGGTAAACACGATGACAGAACGAAGCAAGCGTTTCTGGTTGGTCGAGAAGGGAAATCCGATGAAGGGCGTGGTCACATCAAAACTCGAATGACGATTTTTCGAAAACCTTTTCTCAACTGTTTGTGAACGTCCTCTATGCCGAAAGGAAGAATTTTCATGAAACTAGTAGTACGAGTCAACGTTTACCTTCGGCAATTACGACTTATACAGGGTGTCTTCGTATGACTGAACAACTTCTTTTTTTCTTTCCTTTTTTTTTTCTTTTTATTATTTTTTTTTTTTTAATTATTTGAAAGAAAAAAACAAATGCAGAAGGACATAAATGATTCAAGGTTTTTTGATCAAAGGGAATCATTTTTGCCAGGACTTCAAAACTATTCATGAATTACTTTTAATGAATCAATATATATGTACATTGATATATATATATATATATTTTTTTTTTTTTTCTTAAAATACATTATAAAAAGATGAATTCAATCGTATGAATTTATTCATTATCAGATCGATCTTGAACGATGAAAAATGTGACATTTAGTAAAAATAATACAAAGCAAAATAAAAACAACGACAACGACAACAACAACAACAACAACAACAACAACAACAACAACAACAACAACAACAACAACAACAAGAAAATCTTTGCAATATAATTAAAACAATTTCTTATTAGAATTGATATTTCAGAAGATATCTCGACGAGATGTTTCATTAAGTATATAATTACAAAATATATAATATTAAAATACGTCGCAGTATTGGAATACGTCTTATTACAAACAACGAATTTACATTAATAATAAAAATGTTTTCGATTATAAAAAGAAGTTAATTTTTTTTTCTTTCTTTTTCTTTTTTTTGTTTTTTTTTTTCTTTTACTTTCGCATTATCAAAAACAACTGAAGACACTTCAAATTATTTAAATTTATACGAGACACCCTGTATGCATGCAATACATATATTTATGTGCATACATACACATCTATATACAATACGTAGATATACGTATATGCTAATAACAATCGATGGATACCCGGGCGATATCCACGTTACATATATATATATATATATTGTTCATAAAAATTTTAATTGGGACATAACATACGTTGAATATTATAACAAGGATCAATCGCATGCCACGTAATATAGTTAATTGCTCGGATCGTTGCGGAAGGCCGTGGGATACGCTTCGAGATCGTTTCACGTGCCAAGTCGTAAAATTTCTTCTCTCGATCCATCTTACCACCCCATCCCTTTTCTTCCCAACCTACCCTCATCGCCAACCTCAACCTCTCCCCAACCTCTCCCCATCCTCATTCTCAAACCCTAGTAAGAAACTCGGTATCCTTCGTAAGAAATAAAACGATTTAAACTTAGCATTGTTAATGTGTGTGTGTGTGTGTATGTATGGATGGGTGGGTGATAGGTAGATATATGTGTGTATTTTCCCAATACACTATGTAGTTATGTATATTGTATATAGAGATATATTGTATATAATATATAGAGATATCTATATATATATATATATATATATATATATATATATAGAGTATTCGTTTCAATTCGTAAGCATTCGTTTTGATCGAATGAAGAAAATTTGCTTTGGAAAGAAGATTTCCTTTTTATCTATGCATTTTTCCAAGAATAAATTTATTTTATATATTCTGAACATAAAATATGCAGTTAAATGTATCGGCTCTTACAGAAATAAATAAATGAAAGCTTTAATACATGTACGTATATATGTATGTATGTATATATATATTTATAAAAGAATTTTTTTTGTTTTCTTTTCTTTTGTTTTAAATTTATATAACGATTATGTAAATTATCTCTCTTCTTTTTTCCTTTTTTTTTTTGATTAAATTAATAAAACGTAAACTATGTGAGTTATATTTTTAAAATTTATAAAATAATTATATAAGTAGATTATATAAGTTATATATATGTATATATATATATATATAATTTTTTATTAAATTTATAAAACATTAACGTAAATAATTTTTGTATTATATCTTTTCTTAATTCTTTTTTTAATTAATTACTTTTCTTGTGTTACTTATCAAGAAAACTTTGCCAACATAATCCATATCTTATTTCTTATCATATACCTATTATAAAACTATTTATATATGTATGTATGTGTACAGTTATACTATAAAAAAGTATAAAATGGTCTTTTAAAGTATTTCTATAAATTAACGATACCCACCAAGTTGTCCGAGGTCGACCTTAAAAGCTCGAGGGACGAAAAGAGAAAGATTTTCAGGGATGAAAGCCAAGAATGCATTGGATGTAGGTAACGGAGAGTTTTGAGGGGGAGGAGGGAAAAAGAAAAGAAAAGAAAAAAAGAATAAGCAAAATGTTAGAGCAAGTAAATAAAGCAAGAAGATCTTACGTGAAATCGTCTTTAACGAGATTTAAACGTAAAAATTGTAAATGTTATTTCTCCAACTATCACGAATATCCTCTAAATTAGAAAGACATAAGTACTTTTGTCACTTTATATTCGTAATAAAAAAAAAATTTTTGTCACTTTAAATTCGAATTAAAAAAAAAAAAAAAAAAAAAAAAAAAAAAAAAAAAAAAAAAAAAAAAAAAAGATTTATTATTATAAAAAAAAAAAGAAAAAAAAGAAAAGAAGGAAAACAGGAAAGACAAAAGAAGAATATTCAAGTGTTGTATAATTTCTTTCGATTTTTAAATATAAAATATTAATGAAGAAAAAAATATTCATAATTTCTTTATATATATTTTTTTTTTCTTTTTCGATTATATGCTGATTTTTCATTTATATATATGTGCATGTATGTATGTTTGTGTGTGTGTGTGTGTGTTTGTATGTGTATGAAAATTATGCAAAAATGAAAGAAATATTTTCACTTTACTACGAAAAATCACCAGATGAAATTTTTCTTTTGAGTAAAGGAAAAATCGATAGAATCCAAGCAAGAAGAAGAAGAAGGAGAAGACGAAGACGAAGACGAAGAAGAAGAAGAAGACATAAAATGAGAAAACGAAAAAGAAATAAGAAAAAGAAAGTGAGGAAAGTAATCTTCAGTAAAAAGACACGGATACTTTATTTCTCCTCTCTCTCTCTCTCTCTCTCTCTCTCTCTCTCTCTCTCTCTCTCTCTCTCTCTCTCTCTCTCTCTCTCTCTCTCTCTCTTTCTCTCTGCCTCTCCCTTTCACTCTAGATTCTACCCTCCATAGAGTATCGTCAATGTGGGTAGTATTTTGACGAGTGAAAAAGTAGAAAGGTTGGAGTATAGTACTCGAGCGTGTAGAGAAAAAAAGAAAGAAAGAAAGAAAAAAAAATGAATAAAACAGAAAACTGTTATAAAAACAAAACATTCAAAGACAACAATGGTATTTGGTCTATCACAGTAAACCAAGAACAAAACTGGTTCTATGCAGTTGTAAAAGTCACAATGGACTCCAGTATATACATGTATACTACACTTAAATACTGATAAAAAATATCTCATGTATTATCGCACGTGTACTTGTATATACCGACATACATAGAAAACATATATGTTTAAGTCGAAACATAAGTAACTTGTTGCGTACACTTATTCAAAGACATCCATAAACGAAATGTTTTTTACAAAGCAATAACAAAAGCAAGTATTACGTATAAGTAAAGTCCTGAAACTGAGGATTAAATCTTCGGCCCTCTGGCTATGATGTCAAAGTAACCATGAGATTCTCTTAAGAGAAAAAGATAAAGAGAGAGAGAGAGAGAGAGAGTGAGAGTGAGAGTGGGGTGGGCAGGTGAGGGGGATGGGAAAGAAAGGGAGAAAGAGGACTTAAGTGGAGGACTTACGTCACGTGACCTATCCTTATGACAAACGATGAATTCACTCAAGCTTTCTAAGAGCTAGAAAAACATCGTGAATATGCTTTATTTAAAAATAAAATCAACGAGGAAGGATAAATTTATGAATAGGGGAATTAATTCTTAATTCATAAGGATCGTTCTAATTTTTCAATCTAAATGAAATATATAATAAATAATGAATAATTTATGAATTAAATCGTTTTAACAAAAGAAATGGAAATTATCGTTATCTCGTATAAATTATCATTATGATTTTATTCTGATTTTAAATAATAACAAATTTAATTGTCATACTGTACGTCATAATGTACTTTTGGTATATTATATGTTATTCGTATTATGTGTTACAATAGAAATGAATTTATTAATGTTTCAATAGATTATAAAAAAAAAAAAAAAGAAAAAGAATAGAAAAAGAGAAAAAAAGGAAGAAAGAAAAAGGAAAAAAGAAAAATAAAAATGTCTAAAGATATCACGTCGAACAGGAAAGAAAATTGAATCAGGCGCTTATAAAGATATGTCGTGAAAATGTCTTTAAACGAAATCGTCGTCATGGATCTCGTAAATCTCATGAGATTTGCGAAATTACGTTTTATACGTGCGCGAGTGTATGTATGTGTGTGTGTATTTATATATATATATATATATATATATATATATATATATATATAGAAAAAGAGAGATAGAAAGAGAAGCTTTAAATTTTTACAACGATTATATATTCTTACCAAGAAAGAATTTAATCGTCCATGAAAAATTGTTATTCTCGATAATACATACATGAATATTACTTAGAACTTTGCTCACATTAATTTTTCAAGCCATGTTAATGACGAAGCATTTATTATTAAGCTTAATGAATAGCTCATTTTTGTAACACACCGTGAAAATAAAGCGTATTCAAGTGTTAAGAGGAATTATGTCGATTAAAAAAAAATGGTTAAAAAATTTGTTAAAGACTTCAAAAGTGAATTATATTAAACGCCATTATATTAAATATAATAGTACACGTATATGTATATGTATATAAATACAATGAATTGACACTATACAAATACAAAGCATTGATACTGTATATTAATATAAATATGTACATATACACATATGTATAGTCTATATTTAAAACTATTTATTGTTAATCCAGTTACCAACGACAATATGAGAAAACATTTGTAAAGCTTCATATCCTTTTGTTTGGAGGATGCATTTATAAACGTTCACCTCGATGCAAATACTTTTCTCAGTAGAACAGAATTTCAATAAACTACTATATTGAATTTTACTATGAATTAATGTAGAGGATGTCGAAACGAATGTAACATTATTTCTTATGTCAGTTGAAACAATAATGTCTTCATTTGATCATTTACATCGACATTAATATGCGTAAAATATAAATTTATACAACTCCTGAATGTATGCAACCGTTTATACATTCGTGTACATTATTCATATATGCAATCCGTATAAATTCTTATGTATCAATGATTGCATACGTAAATGATGCAAGTATACTTTATAGAAAATATTTTATATATATATATATATATGTATGTATGCATGTATGTATGTATGTATGTATGTATGTATGTATGTATATAGATATACGTAAATCAATATAACTTTTACGATGTTTCAGTTCGATCAGATCGTGTTCTAAGAAGAAGATGCACTTCGTTCGTACATAAGGAAGGAGATGCACATGACTTACCAACTTTTTGACACTTCGAGGTAAAAGGAGTTTCTAAACGATTAAAAACTTTTCATTAAAATTCGTCTTTCACTAATTAACGTAAAACACTTCTCGTAATGGAAATCTTTTATTTCCTACCGTAAGAATACAAATAACTCTTTTTCCCGATCTATCCATTTGATAATAATACCTTCGTCATTCTTTCACCGTCTTAACGTCGAAATAATCCTCCTAAAAGTTTTTATATTTAAGTATAAAATGTTCCAACGAAAACAACGAAGTGTGATTATGTTAAAGAATATAAAAAGAAAAATCATCTATAAATACTTTCGGAAATTTTTTATTTCGTTCGAAAAAGTTTGTTAAATTAATCATTCGATTAATTGAAATGTTTCACGAAGAAATAATGGTTATTGATCCTATTTTTTTTCTTTTTTTTTTTGTCCTCATTAGGTGACAAACGTGAATTGAAGGAAGGAAGGAAAGAAGAAAGGAAGGAAGGAAGGAAGGAAGGAAGGAAAGAAGGAAGGAAGGAAGGAAGGAAGGAAGGAAGGAAGGAAGAAAAGGAAAAAGACAGAAAATGCCGGTCGGTGGACGTGTTGCTGGCAAAGTTGGGATTTATAGTTCCCATTACAATGGTAATGGTGTGGATATCATGGCATTAGGTATAGATATTCTATAGAGCGGAGTATGAAATTGAGGAGAAAGGAAAATGTTGGATTTTGTTCTCTTTTTTCTCTCTTTCTCTCTTCACATCTATTTTTATTTCTCTCTGACTAATTTTGATGATTTTACTCTTGACTTACCAAAAGACGATCTCAAAGATATGTAAATAATTCATTAAATATATATATATATGTATGTATATGTATATATAACTTAACGATTTTTGTATAAGTATATTATTTACTCGAATGTATTGCATATATATTACAAATAATTTCCAAAACATTTCAAATAAATTTTAAAATGTGTACGAGGTAAAAACGGGGGTAAAAAAAGTTGTCAAATATAAAAGTCTATAAGTGATTCGTATTTCCAGTTGAATGTGATATCGAAATTGGAAAGTAATATTGTAAAGTTATATTCCAAGATATTCCTGCGCGACAATTTTTCTTTAAACGAAGTTTCAAGAAATTCATCGATATCATTAAAAAAAAAAAAAAAAAAAATGAACTTTCGAATTTGATTTTAAGTAAAGTTCTTTTTAAATGTCAAACTCGAAAATTTCATATTACTTTAATATTCCTTCAATAGATATTTCAAATTTCCTATAAAACAATTAAAAAAGAACAAAATTTCCCATTTAATCTCCTCTATTTCATTAAACCTTCAGAATGGAATCCGTGTCTAAGAGAATAAGTTTTATTGTTAAGAATATAATATATAAATATAAATAAATATATATATATATATATTATATTTTTTTAACAATTAAATACATAATACATTAGAAATATAATATAATAATACAATATATTTCTTTTCTTATGTATGTATCTATATATCTATATAAATTCTTTTATATATATATATATATATATATATATATATAATTGTGTTACTTCCATTAAAAAAAAAAATATTTTTTCATTGGTTATAGGTCATCAATTTACATCGTTCGATTTCTGTATATGCATGTAGAATATAAATTTCTGCAACGCCTGAATATATGCAACTGGTTGATATACCTTGTCTTCATACATATTGCATAAATTCAGGCGGATCTATTTTTTACAGAAAATGTTTCCTTTTCATTTTTTATTTTCCATTGTATTAATCAACTTTTCGTTAATACAACATATATTTCGTTGACATAATATTCGTAAATTATTTTTTTCATCAATATATGTATATTTTTTTTTGCTAAATGAAAAAAAAAAAAAAGAAAAAAAGAAAATTCGTAGCGGAATAATTATTTCAAAATTGCGATGTTAGAAATATTCCATAATTGATTTCAGGTAAAGGTTACAGTGGTATTAACGAAGAGATCATATGGATCAGTATCGGCATGGGTATAACGATAGCCGTGTTGATAACGATAGCACTTTGCTATATAGCACGTGAAAAGTGTCGTAAACGTCACGAGGGTTACTATTCCTCCTGACACACGTTACCACCGCCCTCTTGGGCGACTTGCTCAACTTTCACACCAACAACCCCTAGGGTTTACTTCAGCCCCACAATCTCGAAGGACAAGCCACGAGCTTATTACATCACCGTATAAGTGGAATGTCAAATCGATGGTGATCCCTTCAAAGTGAGTGACTATATTTCTACCTGTTTTTCTTATCGTTTCTTTTGCCTCCTAATATTCATGACGTCAAAATCTGTAGATATGAATTGTTAAATAAATGTTCTTTCTCGATATTTCCAAAAAAAAAAAAAGAAAAAAAAGAAGAAAAAAAAAATCTATTTAGCTTTCTAATGCATTTGTTCAAACAATTATTATAATATATTAATGTTCGATCGTACATTTCTGTAAAAGATAATTACTGTATATTTTTTATTATACTTTCTCTTTTTTAAACGAATTTCTAAACGAATTGTTACGCCTTAAAGGGTTAACTATATTATTACAAATTTAATCTCGTAAAAAAAATTTTGAATCTGACTGAAAGAAACATCTTTCGTTCGTATTTCTTTTTTTTTTTTTTTCCTTTTTTCTTTTCCCCCCTTAAGAAGAAATTAGGACGAATTAAAGGGGCATTTGAGAAACGTAGATTTTTTTTTTTTTCTTTTCTTTGAAGAAAGAAATAATTACAAAAGAAAAAAGAAATAATAATAATAATAATATTCTATCCAAACGATGTAACTCGCAGTGGATTTTTTTAAGATAAACTAGAAATCTCGTAGAAAGGAGATTTTGATGGATCCATAAATCACAGAGGCAAAGTTGGCTGCTTTGCATTAAAGTCGATCGTGATACGCATGCAAATTTTCGTTCAAGCCTGCGCATTTTTGTCTGCTTTATTTCCTTTTTTCATGTCTCTCTCTCTCTCTCTCTCTCTCCCTCCTCTCCCCCTTTCTGCCTATTTCTCTCTCTCTCTTTTTCTCTTTCTATTTTCCAGTAACGTACGAAGAAATCGAGTTTGCGTCGAGGAGAGAAATTCAACAGAGTGCTGCTCCAATATACATACCTACGTTTTAAAGCTTTAAGTGAACGTTCTCGACGAAAAAAAAAAAAAAAGGAAGAGAGAGAGAGAGAGAGAAAAGAAAAAAAAAAGAAAAGAAGAAATAAATAAATAAATAAATAAATAAATTGAATAAATAACTAAATAAAAGAGACAAACAACTAAAAACGAAGTTAAGCTCTCCCACTGTGATGACAAGGATCGAGAAGACATTAGTGTAAATAGTATAATAATAGAATGCATTTAAAAAAAAAGAAAAAGAAAAAAAGAAAAGAAAGAAAGAAAGAAAGGGAAAAAACTCTTCTTCCTTCAACCTTTGAGATACGATCGTTTTACTCTTTATCAACTGTGTTTCAAGGAACAAACAAACAAACAAACAAACAAACAAGCAAAGAATATATGAAATTCTAAAACACGAACGCAAAGAAAGATGATTAGATGTCGTCTTTGACAAATCCTTCTTCCAATCGATTTTACGTACCATCTGTGACAAAAATTAATGAAAGTCTTTGATCAAAGTGTTCTCTCGAGTAGTAAAATAAAAACGTAAAAAAACATAAAAAGAAAAAAAAAAAAAAAAAAAAAGGAGAAAAAAGAAAAAATAAACAAATAAAAGGAAAACAGAAACAAATGAAACAAGCGAGAAAACGAGCTAAATTAGCGACGAGATGTCGAAGAGATTAGATATTATTAGAAATTTTTCGATTTTACGATTGTTCGAAGACAATGGAATAGGCCGAGAGCAAAAACAAATTGATTTTCAAGTTTTCTATTTACTTTCTACGGTTTTTCTTTTTTTTCTTTTTTTTTTTTGTTCTCTCTTTCATTAACTGAAAAAAAAATTATACATGTAGATAATATTCCCTTGAAACTTTGAACGAAGCTTTCTCTTTCGCCTTTCGTCTCTTTCTCTCTTTCTCCTCTATTGTCTTCTATTTAACTGTGAAAAATATATATTTGAAAAAAAATGCGATATAAACGCACGTACTGATCGTAAGAATTTTGACCAAAAACTCTAGTGGATATATATATATATACATATATATATATATATATATATATATATATATATATATATATATTATATACTATGTAAAGCGTACATACATACATTATATATTACATACCTATTCGTAAATCGTTATTATTAATAATTAATCCATCGATCATATAGATTTAGAATAAGAATAATAATAATAATAATAATAATAATAATAATAATAATAATAACAATAATAATAAAATGAAGAAGAACGGGTATTTAGCATTAGATAGTTTACATATTTAATACGAGAAAATAGTTATATATATATATATATATATATATATATATATATATATATATATATATATATATGTATATATATATGTATATATAAATTGTTCCTTAGACGAGAAGACAAGAAAAATATGGAAATCATTGTAATGGACGTATAGAAAATGAAGATTATGATGTTCCTCGATTACGAGAATTATTTTTCATCGTACCAGAGACGTTCATTGTTATTTTATAATTAATAATTTTTCTTTTTTTTTTTTTCTTTTTTTTGCTTTTTTTCCTTGATTTCTTTTACAAACTTGAACGTTCGTTAAATGAAAAACGATTTTACGAACACGATCGTTCGACGAATACATACATATACTTAAAATAATGTAATACTATCGGAAATTCATTAATTAATTTATATAATGAATAATTTTGGATGCAATCAATTAAATAATTTATTTCTCAATGAATAATTAATAATTAATTGAAATTAAATCGGCCAATGAAATCGAAACGTATCAATATTGCCATATCGTCCGGGGGAAAAAAAAAAGAAAAAAGAAAAAAGAAAAAAAAAAGAAGAAGAACAAAGAGAAAAAAGAAAAGAAAAGAAAAAGAAAGGAAAAGAAATATTAAAAATGAATATCTATTGAAATGGACGGTTTCTCGGTAGCACGCAATTGCAATTCCTATCAGAAATTAATCCGATCGATGATCACTTGCTGGTCCATTAAAGCTTGTAATAATAAATATGTCAAGGACTATATATGCGAACGATCGTAGTCGAACGAATCCGATGCCAACAAACGTTAAAATTCTGCCACTATTATACTTTACTACTTCTTCTATATGTATTATATACATACGTGTGTTCGAAAAAGAAAGAAAAAAAAAGAAAAAAAAAAAAAAAAAAAGAGAAAAAAATGGACAAAAAAAGGAAGACAAAGATAGAAAGAAAAATGGAAACGTTCAGTCGCAACAAAAATCTTTCCTTCTCTAATAAGATCCATCGTTATCGTTGTATACACATCACAGGGTTAGGAATTTACCAATTTCGGGTTTAACGGTTCGATATTGCAACGTCTACTATTACTTACTACTACTACTACTACTACTACTAGTACTAGTACTACTATTAATATTACTACTATTACTACTACTATTATTACTACTACTAATACTACTACTATTGCAATGACCAACTTGACAGATCGTTCTATGTATTATTATGATAGATCATTTCTCTTGATGCATTTATAACGAATAAAAAAATTGAAAACTCTACTAATGGAAAGATAAATTTATGTATCTTTCTCTTTATCTCTTTATATATATATATATATATATATATATATATATATATATATATATATATATATATATACAAGATGGTCGATTTAAACTGTTACAGAATGTTTATATCGAAATCGTGATAAATGGCAAATTGAATTCAATAGTTAAAAGATAACTATATTTAGTAACTAACTTTATTTATATTTAATCATGAATAAAAAGAAAAGCAGAAAGATAATGACAATACTTAAATCTAAATTTGTAATCAATTTTTTATAGAAACACGTTTTGTAACACTTCATGTGTACCACCCGATATAATGCATTTATTAAAAGATAATCCATATATAAATTTTTACGAAATATTTATATATCCAAATCGTCAATAAATAATATCGATTTAACATAAATCAAATTAATTCATAACTAAACAAAATCTATCAATTATTTTTGCTTACATTTGACCATCATCAATCAATCTTTTTATGTCGTTTAAGGTATTAAAAACAAAATAAAACAAAAAAGAAAGAATGAAAAAAGATTTTACACCTTTAATGATTTCTATAGAAATAAATTTGTTGACACTTCATGACGGGCTATCCAGTATGATAATATATAAACATGTATACACATATTTATGCAAGCTGGTCCACATAAACTGTTACGAAATAATTATAACCAAATCGTAATAAATAATATCGATTTAATATAAATCAAATTGGAGAGTAACATTATTTTTTTAATTATTTTTATTTACATTTAATTACATTAAAAAAGAAAAGAAAAGAAAAAAAAAAAGAAAAGAAAAAAAAGAAGAACATAAATATTTGTAATAGTTTAGATAAATATAATTTATAACACTTTATATGAACCACCCTATATAATACATATATATACATTGATATATATATATATATATGATATCATTCTCTTCAACTAAACTAACTTCATAGTATGTTTTTATATTGGGATAATGGATAACAGTGTGACGTTTCTACTTTACTCAGTTGAGTAAATTGAAAACGCTGTATACTGTTTTTTCAAGGTAGGTATATATAGTATACATATCTCGTTATGTACATATAGAGCCATATTAATTTTCTCTCTCTCTCTCTCTCCCCTCTCTCTCTCTCTCTCTTTCTCTCTCTCTCTTTCTCTCTCTCTCTCTTTCTCTCTCTCTCTCTCTATGATACAAGTTTTTGTACAAATTTGTACAGATTTATTAATTTTAAATCATCGTTTCAGAATAATTGATAATAATTATTATTGTGATGCAATATAAGACGTGGTGAGTGACAAACGATATCCTTTCATATCCATTTAATAATATCTAATACAGATCTTAATTCGTTAGAAATTAGTACCTATCCTCCTTGTATACTCGATAAGTTTTCATTCATAATCAGGAACTTCGCATTTTTAAATAAAAAAATTAAAGTAAAAAAAAAAAAGAAGAAAAAAAAAATAACAATAATAATAATAATAATAATAATAATAATAATAATAATAATAATAATAATAATAATAATAATAATAATAAAATGAAATGTAAAAGTCGAGCTGCCTACATTGACTTCTCGATTTTTTTTTAACGCATCATCACCCGTTTATTAATTCAACGATCAATCTTAATAAAGAAATATGTGAACTAGAATAATGAAAAGAGAAAATGTTCTATTTATGTATAAAAATATTAATAATAATAATTTTTGTGTGTGTGTATGTATGTATGTATGTATATATATATATAATCTTTTTTATGTAGAAAGAGAAAGAACATTTGGCTTTTATCATTATATAATTCTTTTTTTTTTTCTTTTCCTTTTTTTTTTTTTTTTTTTTTTAAATTTTATAAAATATTTTTAAGATAATAATAATAATCATATTAAAATTTTTTTTTTTAAGGAAAATTCTATCCTCGTAATAATAATTTACTTTCTTATTGTAGATCGTAAAAAAAAAAAAAAAAAAAAAGAAAAAAAAAAAAAGAATAAAATCAATGGATACACAAGAAAACGGGAAGACTTAAATTCAATGCACACGTATTTCCACACTTTCGTTATGAACTCTGACTTTCTTACACACGTTTCTTTTTTTCTCCCCTTCCTTCCCCCCACTCTCTCTCTAATTCTCTCTCTCTTCCAAATATTTTTTATTTCTTATATATTAATTATCAACCTTTACATACACACAAGTACGTACATGCATGCAAATTATAACAATAAGAGAGTACCCATCAGACCAACACACACATATATACATTGCAGACGTGATAAAGAAAAAAAAAATATTGTGTGTGTGTGTGTGTTCTTATAATTTTTATATCGACACTGCAAAATGTAGGCAAAGTTTTTTTTTTTGTTTTTTTTTTCGTCAATATACATATCATCCACGAATACTATTATTATATTAAAATGACAGTGAGTATAATCCTGATTGACAATCCCAATAATAATCGGGAATTAGAAAAATATAAAAAAAAAAAAATACAAAAAAAAATACAAAAAAAATAGTCGCAACTTAAATTAAATGTTAAATGCTTTCGAATTTTTGGTTATTTTTTTTTTTTTTTTTTTTTTTTTTTTTGTTTTTTTTAATGTTTAAACTAACAATGTATATACCCTCTTTCTAACGCGAAACGATCAATTGTTTATATGTATGTAATAAAAGTCATTCATTTTTCCTTTCTCTCTTCTATATTATATATATATAATTATAGATATGTGTATATATATATATATATATATATATATATATATATATATATATACACACACATCAAAGTTAATCGAAATAACGACAATTTATTATTTTTTTTTACTTGTTTTATTATTTTTTTTTTTTTTTAATTTTCTTTTGTTGTTTTGTTTTGTTTTATTTTATTCTATTTTATTTATTTTTTTTGTTTCTTTTGTTCCTTTTTTCCAAGTAGCCCTCCTCCATATTTTCCTTAAGCTCGGCGATTACTTATAATACTTAAAGTAAGTACACAGTACGATTCGTGAACTTACACAATCAGTTCATTTTCAGAATGTTCATCCTCGGTCGATTACTATTGTTCAGATAGATTCCCTCGGACGTAATATTAAAAACGCATACTAAGCAATATTATATGACAATTGTCAAAAAAAAAAAAAAGAGAACATAAATAAAAATTTTAATCTTATAAACGAACGTCCCTTGTTTCTTTTCCCTACTATTTATGATAATAATAGAGGACGGTCGTCCTGCACCATTTGTTTCTTTTTGTTTTATTTTATTTTTATTTTGTTCCTCCCACCGCTCACTCTATATATATATATATATATATATATATATATATATATATCTCGACAGTTTATTATTATTTTTATTTACTTACTAGGCTCTTTCTTTCTTTGTT